GACAACTGATACCTACCCCAAATCTCTGACAATACTGCTCCTCTTCTTTGCTGTTTGCTGTTATTTTTTGGTGTGTGTGCGTGTGTGCGTGTATGTGCGTGTATGTGTGTGTATGTGTGTATGTATATATGTGTGCATGTGTGTGTGTGCATGTGTGTGTGCTTATCTGGATGTATATGTATGTGTATGGGTGTGTATGTGTGTGTGCATGTGTGTGTATGTGTGTGTATGTGTGTATGTATATATGTGTGCATGTGTGTGTGTGCATGTGTGTGTGCTTATCTGGATGTATATGTATGTGTATGGGTGTGTATGTGTGTGTGCATGTGTGTGTATGTGTGTGTATGTGTGTATGTATATATGTGTGCATGTGTGTGTGTGCATGTGTGTGTGCTTATCTGGATGTATATGTATGTGTATGGGTGTGTATGTGTGTGTGCATGTGTGTGTATGTGTGTGTATGGGTAGGTGTATGGGTGTGTGTTGTATGGGTATGTGTGTTTGATGTGTGTGTTGTGTATGTGTGCTTGTGTGTGTGTATATATGTGTGTATGTGTGTATGTGTATTTGTGTATGTGTATGTGTGTATGTGTGTATGGGTATGTGTCTAGGTGTGTGTATGTGTATGTGTATGTGTGTGTAGGTGTGTGTGTGTGTAGGTGTATGTGTATGGGTGTGTGTATGTGTATGTGTGCATGTGTGTATGTGTATTTGTGTGTGTGTAGGTGTTTGTAGGTGTATGTATGTGTGTAGGTGTATGTATGTGTGTGTGCATGCGTGTGTGTGTGTATATGTGTATGTATGTGTATGGGTATGTGTGTATGTGTGTGTATGTGTATGAGTGTAGGTGTATGTGTGTATGTGTGTATGTGCGTTTGTATGTGTGTGTGTGTATGTGTGCATGTGTATGTGTGTGTGTGTGTAGGTTTATGTGTATGTGTGTGTATTTCTGTATGTGTGTGCATGTGCATGTGTGTGTATGTGTGTGTATGTGTGTATGTGTATGGGTATGTGTGTATGTGTGTAGGTTTATGTGTATGTGTGTGTATGTGTGTGTATCTGTGTATGTGAGTGTATGTGTATGTGTGTATGTTTATGTGTGTGTATCTGTGTATGTTTATGTGTATGTGTGTATGTGTATGTGTGTGTTATGTGTATGTGTGTATATGTGTGTATGTGTGTTTATATATGTGTGTATGTGGTATGTGTATGTTTATGTGTGTATGTGTATGTGTGTATGTGTGTGTATGGGTATGTGTCTGTGTGTGTGTATGTGTATGGGTATGTGTGTATGTGTGTGTGTATGTGTGTGTATGTGTGTATGGGTATGTGTGTATTTGTGTGTATGTGTATGTATGTATGTGTATGTGTGTATGTGTATGTGTGTGTATGGGTGTGTGTGTATGTGTGTGTATGTGTGTGTATGGGTGTGTATGGATGTGTATGTGTGTATGTGTGTGTGTGTGTATGTGTGTGTTTGTGTGTGTGTGTGTGTGAAGCATCCAGCCTCACTAATATCCAAGCCAAGCTCTCACAGTTCTTTTCCCTCATCTCCGCATGCTTACCGTTACCATTGTCCATCCCTGTGGGCCCTTCCTCAGTGTCCTGTCCAGGCCAACTGATCTGAATAATTGTTATTACATCCAACGCTTTACCGTCCACAAGGACTTCCGCTTGACCCTCACTGAGTGGTGGTGAGTTGGGCAGAGTTGTACCTGACGGCCTTTCTCATGGGCACACGTGATGTGCTCACGTCACATGGCTCACACCTGTCTCTCTGTTCCTTCAGTTGTTGGTCTTGAAATAAGTTGTCATTTTCTTCCGAAACACGCTCAGGTCACCACAGGTGGACCAGCCATGACTCGCTTGGTTCCTCGGGCCAGAGACCAGGTTTCTGGACACGACTGCTCAGTGCCTCGGGCTCTTCCGGGGAGTAAGGGTTTCTACCTTTGGCCGTGGACGTCCTCCCCGGGCAGGGAGCTCCCGTGGGCGTGGGCTGTGGGGGCTGGCACGGCCTGTGAGGGGCGGGCAGAGCCTGGGAGGTCTCCAGGAGACCAGTGCCCTCGGGAGGGGCGGGCTGGAGAGGCCAGAAGACGGCCGGCATCATGGGCTTCAGGCTGAGCTGCTCCACTGTCAGTTTCTGAGACGAGGGGCTCGCGTTGGGGTTTCGGCCGCAGCATCTCACGGGAGAGAGGCCGGTGCTTCCCTGCGACGTAGGCCTCGCCGTCAGCCTGGAAGCACTTTCCCTGAACTAAGGCTCTCACCACAAATAGCGCCTGGAGACCGAAAGGGGGCGCCTGCAGCACGCGTGACGCCTGTGACGGACACGCGGCTGCGTCCAGGGAGAGGGAGCCCGGGGGCGGAGGCGTGGAGGCGGAGGTGGGGCACTGGCGCTGGGCCCTGGGCTGAGGCTTGCTGGGTAGTCGGAGCTCTCTCTCTCTGTGAGCCCTGCTTCGCCCCTTCCCTGGGCCTAGCTTCTGAAACCCCCGCCTGGGCCGGAGAGGGGCTGACTGAACTCCAGGTCAGAGGAGAGGAACGCCGCCCTGGACTGTCTATCTTGGTCCGTGAAAGTTCTTTCTCCCCCGGGCCTGAGCCAGGGACCTGCAGAGGCCCCGTGGCTCCGAGCGCTGTGGGCGAACGCCGCGGGAGGCCCGTTCCCGGCGTCACTCAGCATTAGCTTTGGGAGGTAGTTCCTGGGGGCTCCTGGCCGGGTGTGCGCGGACCTTTCTCGGGGAGGCTCAGCCGTATGCATTGAGCCCCCAGTGTACTCCGGCTTCCCGTGCTGCGAGAAGAGAGGAAGCTTAGGTTTGGGGGTTTCACTGCCACAGGCACCTTCAGGCAGTAAAGGGGCGAAGCAGGCGTCTAGGTTTCTCATCAACACCCACAGTGTGAGGTGAGGGACCAAACAGCCAGGTTCAGATTCTGGCATTTTCTGAAGGAGCAGCAGGTCACACCAGATAGGACGACACACAGTTAGCTGCTGTGATCCTGAAGCAGGTGTGGCTCACTGGGCACTGCTGGTTGGTAAGACTGTGGGCGAGAGGGACTGGGTGAGCCGCGGACGCCCCATGCTGTGGTTGGCACGGGGTAGCCAGCCAAGTCCACTGCTGCCGAGGGCATCGAACGCCGGGCCTGAGAGCTCTGGTTGGAACGGACAGGCTCTCAGCGGGTCAGGTGAAGAACGTGCCAGGGCCTCAGGGGACGCGAAGTGAGGCCTGTGCCACCAGCCGGCACCGACCACACAGCGCCCAGTCCCAGAGCTCGCAGAGCCTGTGTGGGGCGGGTGAGAGGAGCCGG